GGTCGGTGTTTTCGCTTCGGTAATTTACCCGTAAACTTCTGTCTTCGCCTACGTGTTTGGTCGGTCTTCTGTGGGAATAACAGTCGTGGGAGAGCAGCGCTGGCCAATTGGCAACCGACATCCGCGTAATACACAAGCCCCATTTTTACGTAAAATCTACTGGGTTTGTGGTCACTTCCACTTCCCTACAAGAAATCCCCCTTGTTATTGGTCGCATGTTGTCCTCTGAGCTGTGCTGGGTACACGTTATTTGTTTGCATAATGGTCCACTGATTTCGACAACACCGATGATATTGCTTCACTACCTTCAAGCTTTGGCCATCTACAGTCTGTGTCACGGACGAACGAGTTCGCTAAATCAGTCGGTTTGTCAATAAACGCCGCGAAGACTAAGGTGTTTTAATGCCGCATCTCTGCATGGCTGTGAATGCTGAGCTATGCGCGTTGAAGATGGACAAAAACTGGAAGTATTTCGCCACTAATGTTTATGAAACATTGGATGAAGAACACCGACTTGGTTTCGTCGAGACAGTCCGCACTCACTGCGACACCATCGCAAGGTATCCCGGGCTATCCAAGAAAGACGACTGGGGTGGTTTGGCCGCATTCTTCCTCGTGAGCCCAGCGGTACTGCTATCGACCCGATATTGTTACCCAATTGGAAACTTTAAAGAGGGGATCAGCTCAAAACTTGGTTTGACTCAGGACCTGGAAGTGGTTCTTAGGCCTTCGGTATTTGGACACCGGCGTTGGCAAACAGAATGGATTAAACTGTCCAGCTCTACTGCCACGGATCATGACGCGTGGAGAAGTACCATCCGAGACATCATGGGGGCTCGCTAGATCAGTCATGGTCACCGCCGTAACAAGTACATATAAGGCAGTTAGCTGTAGTGCGCATCGAGAAGACTCATCTTGCGTCTACCTGAGTGTTAGGTCTTCCCATTGTAGCCTCGGATTCTGTTATATTTGACGGGCAACCACTCGTTTTTTTGAAAATGTTCTGTTACCATTACCTGGAGCCCAGTTAAATTTCTGGATGCGTGCTCGACTGGTCACTTGGTTCAACCTCGCCCGGCAGATTGGTCCTTCGGCCTGAGCATCCTTTACTGTCGTGAATG